TTTTATTTAAATACAAGATCTGCTTTGGTAGTTAAGTATTCTTCATCATTTGTATAGATGTAATTCATTTCTGCTTCAATTTAATTGATCACAACTTATTCAGCTTTGGCTCTTTAAGACTCTATGACTTTGCGACTCATTTCTGAGATTTCATCTAGAACTGAAGGGAATCTAGTAAATACCTAAATAAAAAAAGAATTGAATACTTTTCTTAATATTTATTAACTGATTTCATCCATATATTAAAATATTTGATCTAGAACATCTTAAGCAGGTCTAATGAGTGCTTAAACTTAAGGAACAATTAAATAGAGAAAACTATCAAAAGATGGAAATCCAGGAATGCTATCACCTTAATGTAATTGATCAGCCAATTCAATATCTTTATCTAAATAACAATCAGTAACATGATATTTTTCATCTGCAAATTCTTAATATAATTCGTTAAACATTTATTTAATTTTAGCTCCTCCTGTAAGTTCAATTTTCTTTTCTTCATCAGTAATAGTAGCTTCATTTTTATCATATTTTCCATCCATTGTATTTTTAAATCCATCTGTATAATCTTGAAGTAAATTAAAAACTAATTAGACTTTGTCTTTTTAATCTCTTGGTAATTCAGTACCAAGTAATTTGAGTTTATCTTCGCATTCATCACTTTTAGTATCAATTTCTTTGATAATATCTGGTAAACATTTTCTAATATGTTGATATAAAACAGTTGTCAATTTTTCAATTAATGCTCTAGTTCCTAATATATCTTAAGGAATTCCTGCATATTTAGGATCATTTTAAAAATAATCCTCTTCTTAACGAAGTGCTTTTTAAACAGGTACTTTATTAATGATATCTTATTAGCTTCTATTTTTGACTCCAATATAACCTAATCGTAATTTGACTTCCTCATTCAACAAAACTTTGGATGCATCTGAACCCTCTCCCATAATATCGATTTTGGTAATCACACCAATAGTTCTGATGCCATCTGGATCAAGTTGACGAGCTAATTTCAAAGATCTCTATGTAGTAATATCTTAACTTGCAGGCATTACACATAGAATGATAGTTCTTTCATCTTCACAATATCTATAGTTTCATAAATTATAAATACCTTTTACACATATTTAATGTAATCTCTTCTATATTGTCAGGTTAATCAGAATCTCTTAATGGTATTAGAGTAATTCCTGGTAAATCTATAATTGTAAGATCTGGACAATCAGGTGACCAAATAGTCAATTCGATAGGATCAGGTAAGATATCTATACTCTAAAAATATTATACTCTTTCTTTATCCAGCTTTTGCATCTGTTAATCTATCAATTTCTTCACGAACCTTAGTAAAATCTGTAAACTTTTTTTCTGGTACTTCTTTAAAGATTGCCCAAGGTGATAATCTTTCTTGAATATGTACAAGACGCAATTCCAAAGGTCTACGAGTTACAACACCCTTTTTTGAATAGCAATTAATCAATTACATCACCCCTTGGTAAGAAATCCAATCCACAAATATTTTCCAATAAACTACTCTTTCCTGCACTCTACATTCCAACAACACAAATTCTTGGTAATTTAATGTAATCTTAAACACCACAATCTCTTAGATCATCAATAAGAGTGACCATTTTTCTCATATTATCCCATAATCCAGATTTCATCGTAATAATGAATTAATTAAAAAAAAAATCAATTTTTCAATTCCTTTTACTCCATCACAGCTTTAAATAGATTCATCTTATATGCATCCCATTTTTTAACCTTTTTTGCTTCTTCCATATCAAATATATGATCAAATTCTGGTTTTCTCTTTATTCCATCAATCAAATGTTGTTTCAATGGTTGACTAACTAAATGAAATAATCCCTTATCTAATTTATACACCTCAGTTTTTGCTGCATCACTAATCACTGTTAATCTACTTTTTTCTGATAAATCATATTTCATTTCCATTATATCTTCATCAAATAATTTATATTCATTTAATAACACTCTTCCCATAAAGAAATCACCTCTTACAAATTCTCTATAAAGGAAATGGTATTTGAATGCCATATACTCTTTATTCTTGTATATTTCTTAATATTAAAAAGATTAAGGTATCCCTAATCCAGGCACATTTTCTAAATCTAAGGAAGTATTCTTCACTCTCATTTTCTTATCCTCTCTAATTTAAGCATCTCTTATATTGATATTTTATTACAATCAATTAAACCACATTTCAATGGCTTCTTTTTATTTGGATCATCAGCTCTCATTACTTTCAAATCTCTAATAAACACTTCCTCTTTCACACATTTACATCTACCACTTGCAACAATATAAAAGTATTTCTATGGCTCACCTTCTTTTAAAATTACTTAACCCAATCTATAAGTTTCACTTTCCAATAAATTAGCTATAGGTATTAATTCCATTTAAGATAGAAACTATTATATAATAAATTGTAATAATACATCAAAACAAGGCATAGTTAATAATGTCTTTAATTTATCTTCAAGTTCTGAAGTAATGACATTCAGAATAATACTTTT